ACACCGAATCTTTCAGGATATGGGCATACATACACCGACACACAAAGTAAATGCTTAACAGAATAGAGTGATGGGGAGGCTGGCTAACACCACAAAATGGTGATCGTTTACGCAAGCCCTTGGAGGCGCAGGCAGCGCACGCCAACGTACGCTAGCGTTTCCAGCGTTCGGCAGCGGCAGTGGCAAGGAAAGGATAGATATCGATCTAGCGTTTGCCAGCGTCACTAGCGTGCGCCAGCGTTTCACTAGCGTTTGCCAGCGGCGGGACTAGAGAGTATGGGAGAGTAGGAGAGTAGCGAACGGCTCGATTAGGCGTCGTGAAATTGCGGCGTGTGCAACCGCACCGCATTAGTAGACACTACCGTGCACCAAAATGGATAAATTGCATATTGTGGTTTGGCCGTTGGAACGGAATGTTTATTGCATTGTCGCACCGGGATTGAATTGAACTATGAAAACACTCGTCTTCTGCAGGTTATATATCCTCTTTTACATCTGATCTGTTGAGAATTGTTCCTTTTGAGAATTTTAGAAACTTTGCTGGACGTTTCCTGGACGAATATACGGCCAACACACACATGCTGATCCTTATGGAAGATCCTGAATTCCACATTGTTTTATCCTTTGCAACTATGCATTATGCAGTTCAACCTTTGCATTATGCAATTCAACCAATTTAGTGTACGGTATTGTCTAGTAGTGCGGTGCGGTTGCACACGCCGCAATTCCACGACGCCTAATCGAGCCGTTCGCTACTCTCCTACTCTCCCATACTCTCTCTATTCCTCGCCGCTGGCAAACCCTAGTGAAATGGCTGGCAAACTCAGGGAAAACGCAGGCAAACGCTAGATCGATACCTATACTTTCCTTGCCCTCGCTACGCCAGCGTGCGCTAGCGTACGCTAGCGCCGCTGGTGACGCTGGCAAACGCTAGATCGATATCTATCCTTTCCTTAGTCACTGCCGCTACCGAACGCTGGAAATGCTAGCGTACGCTGGCGTACGCTGCCGCAAAGTATGAATGCAGTTTAAGTCGGCAAAATCTCAAGGTTGCAGCCATGGCAACTGTCGTGTTTCTCTGTAATCTGGGTTATTGGGAAGATTCACTGCGATGGATATCACAAATGATGCACCAGTCTGATAAAGTTGATTGTAGCTGAGTTCTTCGTGAATGGCTTCTAGGGAAATGCAGTAGTTCGTGAAGAGAGTTCCAATTTCAATCGTAACCTAGTCATAGTCTCATGTAACCTCTACGGGATCTTCCAAAGAAAAAGC